GAAGAAGAAGAGGAGGAAGAAGAAGAGGAGGAAGAAGAAGAGGAGGAAGAAGAAGAGGAGGAAGAAGAAGAGGAGGAAGAAGAAGAGGAGGAAGAAGAAGAGGAGGAAGAAGAAGAGGAGGAAGAAGAGGAGGAGGAAGAGGAGGAAGAAGAGGAAGAAGAAGAAGAAGAAGAAGAATCTAATGTAATCTGATGTAATCTGATGTAATCTGATGTAATCTGATGTAATCTGATGTAATCTGATGTAATCTGATGTAATCTAATGTAATCTAATGGAATCTAATGGAATCTTATGTAATCTAATGGAATCTAATGTAATCTATTGTAATCTAATCTATAACGTAATCTAATCTATAATGTAATCTAATCTATAATGTAATCTAATCTATAATGTAATCTAATCTATAATATAATCTAATCTATAATGTAATCTATGTAATCTAATCTAAAGTAATCTATTGTAATCTAATCTATAATGTAATCTAATCTATAATGTAATGTAATCTAACGTAATGTAATGTAATCTAATGTAATCTATAATGTAATCTAATGTAATGTAATCTAATGTAATCTAATGTAATGTAATCTAATCTATAATGTAATCTAATGTAATGTAATGTAATCTAACGTAATCTAATGTAATGTAATCTAATCTAATCTATAATGTAATCTAATGTAATGTAATGTAATCTAATGTAATGTAATCTAATCTATAATGTAATCTATTGTAATGTAATCTAATGTAATGTAATCTAATCTAATCTATAATGTAATCTAATGTAATCTAATGTAATCTAATGTAATCTAATGTAACCTAATGTAATCTAATGTAATGTAATCTAATGTAATTTAATGTAATGTAATCTAATGTAATCTAATGTAATCTAATGTAATGTAATCTAATGTAATCTAATGTAATGTAATCTAATGTAATGTAATCTAATGTAATGTAATCTAATGTAATGTAATCTAATGTAATCTAATGTAATGTAATGTAATGTAATCTAATGTAATGTAATCTAATGTAATCTAATGTAATGTAATCTAATGTAATGTAATCTAATGTAATGTAATCTAATGTAATGTAATCTAATGTAATGTAATCTAATGTAATGTAATCTAATGTAACGTAATCTAATGTAATGTAATCTAATGTAATGTAATCTAATGTAATGTAATCTAATGTAATGTAATCTAATGTAATGTAATCTAATGTAATGTAATCTAATGTAATGTAATCTAATGTAATGTAATCTAATGTAATCTAATGTAATGTAATCTAATGTAATGTAATCTAATGTAATGTAATCTAATGTAATCTAATGTAATGTAATCTAATGTAATCTAATGTAATGTAATCTAATGTAATGTAATCTAATGTAATCTAATGTAATCTAATGTAATCTTATGTAATGTAATCTAATGTAATCTAATGTAACGTAATCTAATGTAATCTAATGTAACGTAATCTAATGTAATGTAATCTAATGTAATCTAATGTAATCTAATGTAATGTAATCTAATGTAATGTAATCTAATGTAATGTAATCTAATGTAATCTAATGTAATCTAATGTAATGTAATCTAATGTAACGTAATCTAATGTAATGTAATCTAATGTAATCTAATGTAATCTAATGTAATGTAATCTAATGTAATGTAATCTAATGTAATGTAATCTAATGTAATGTAATATCTTGTCTGTTACGATCTATATGACGCTGACTGTACATATAGGACGACAATGGGCGAGGAAATATCATTTTTGTGATCCCTTTCACTGTTGATTAAAGGTAGGCGACGGGTAGTAATTAAAATATTTCTTACTTGCATTATCCGGAGGTTGTAGTAAGACCTTCCTGAGCTTCGTCCGAGTTGACAGCAGACCTCTGACAGCGCATAGCATCAGGAGTTCCATTTGCTGTCTTCTCAAACCGTAAACATCTACATCAGCTGTAAATAACAAAGAAAAATTTGTTCTTGTTTGTTGTCATTGTTACTATATTTGTTAATTTAGCATTTTCTGTCGTTTAAACATTACCAAATCTTGACATCATAAAAATACGAGAAGAAAATATAAATAGAATTTCTTGTCATAGAGTAAACCTAAAAAGTTCAAAAGAAAATATATAGATTGTTGTCAAATACTAGTTCATTATATTGTACCAGGTAAGGGATGCGTGTGTACGGGACATGCGTTGGGCATGACACCGAGCAGTGCGGCGCACACACGCAGCGCACTCTCGCCGCCGCCCAACGCCTGCGACATACGCTCGCTCTCCGCGCTCGTCACACCGCTTAGTTCTACCTGTTACATTAATATTTATTTTATCTTACAAGGCATATTATAAACTGGCTGGAAATTGTAAACTGAGATTAATTTATCATGATTTTTATTTAATTTTCTTAACTTATCCTCGATATTTCAAAATTGTTAAGTGATTTAATGTGTAGAAAAGTAAAATCTAAAGGCACTTTTGTAAATGAATTAGAATGTAAAGTTTGTAAAGCAATTATGTTTACCTTGGTTACAGTATTGTCATCGTGTATTACGGTGACCTTTGCTCTGGGAGACAGTTGTGTCACTATACCATACCGCGGCGGTGATCCGAAGCTTACTCTTTGACCGAGTCTGATGCGCCATTCCAACCCACCGACAACTCCTAGTGCACCAGCTAAATAAAAAGCTCCATTAGTACATAAATTCCCCTTGAAGTACACAATACATATTAAAGTTATTAAAAAAATACCTATAAGACAAGTATTGAGAGAAATTGGCGATGGCTTGATACTTTGAGTAAGTTCCTGGCTTGCGTGTGGCCACCAGTGCCAGTCGTTTGTTATCTAAAACAATACAGACATAAATTATTATTTTTAGTAATTAATTCGACATACAAAAATTATTCCATCTAATAAAAACTGTGCAGGAGTAAAATTTATCGCTGTTTAAAACCTGATTTTATACCCGAGAGAAGCTAGCAAATCGATTGATTGTTACTAAACTATTTACAATTCTTTTTTATTTTACCACTATCCAGTCTATGACAGGCCAGTGCTACTGTCTTACTGTACTGGCATAAAGACAGACATTGCATACTGTATGCGCTGCAATCTGCAGCTTGTCGAGCAGCACAGCAGTGAGCGGCCCGTGCCATTGCGGCGCGCCGTGCAACCGACGCACCAGCGCCACCGCGCCCGCGCATACCGTGCCCGTATAGCTGCTCGTCGCCGGCGCACGCCATCTATTATCTGTAATAACAAGCATCCCGCTCATGTGTAAAGTAATTAATATACGTGACAATACAGTAAATGACCGATAACAATGTTTTACCAAGTTCCTCCTCATCGTTGCCAGTGAATATAGCTTGTGTGGGACGCAGGGCAGGGTCCGCCGGGTGCGTCTCGAGCCACAGTCGGCCCACGAGCGCGAGCAGCTGCGTCGCCACAGTTCTGCGCCACTCCGCTGGCCCAGAGTGCTCCAGCAACACACGCTTCAGCAGCCAGATACATTGGATCTGATGGACAAAACATGTTAAGAAACGTACATAAAATTGATCTGTTTTGTTTCACCATATTAGAATTCATATCAATTTAAAAGTTAGTAAAAAGCGTTACCAACCTGTAGGAATAGTAAATCCTGCGTGACCGTTTTGTCTCCTGCGGAAATTATGCTAAAGCATAATTCGAACCAGGACTCGGTACATAATGTTTTTCTCATGTCATGATTTTGTGCGCTTGCTAAAATAAATGAAAAAAATATATTGAGGGGAAATTATTCATTACTTCATGCGTCGCATAACATATAAAGTATATTGCTTATATTACCTCTAATCAGGGCGACAGCAGTGTGTGCGTAAGAAGCAAACGCGGTGGGTGGAGATACATTATTTGCACGCGCGATGACAAGCAGACGTCGTTGGAGCGCGGCCACGTTGCGCCGGACCACACCGCGCACGTCGTACGCACTGCCTGCCCGCGCACACGCCGCACGTAACGCGCCCGTGCACGCCGCACGTACCTCCTTCACCGGCCACCAATCTAACGTAGTCTGACCTTTAAAGTAAACAAATGTTAACAAAAATCAATATATTACCCGAAATAATTAGTTTTTAAATATGTTTAACTTACGATTTTCAGCCTCGGCTTCATAAAGAGATGGTGGCGGAGAAGGCGACCGCGCTAATTTCAAATCATATTTTCCTTCTTTTCCCATGCGATAGGAGTTAGTGCCTCCGCTGTCCCACAGAATGCGTACCCAGCCGTCGTCTCCTAGTTCTCCGATTACCCGACCTTCGCCACCGGGACCTCCATCCTATGAAAAAAGAAATAGATAAATTCCTACAGTCTTTAGCAGCTATCCTTCTGTTTTATTTATATTATTTGATATTACCTGGTCGCCCCACTTCCAGTCTCTGCCGCGCACTACCCTGGTACCTATTTTCATGAGGCTGGCAAGCTCTGGCCCGCTTAATGAAGCGCACCTGGCACGCGCACCCAATTTTTCATCCTCAAATATAACTAAGCATTCAACTGAAACAAATTAAATATTTTTTTGCATAATAATTAAAATATATGTATTTAATTTTATAATTAAAAAAGTTCTACATACACTTAGATCTTGTTACTGCTTGGGAATTCTGAGAATTATATAAAGATGTATCTCCTCCGATTTGCCTTAATAATGTCATACAGGAACTTAATACTCCGCCGTTTATCAATTGCTCCAACTCTGGACCATAGCAACCCTCCACCACTAGTGTTAGAAGAGATATCAAAAACCTGTAATATAAGAAAGATATGCAATTTTCAACGCAATCATTTATCCCATACGGTTCATTTTTATTTAGTACCTTGCTCGTGATGGTTTCGTCAGCAATGCGTGTGCTCCAAAGTTAACGCTCATCTTCAAAGGCATAGGTTGGTGTTGTTCTGCTTCTAATACTTTCGCCCTCAACTCTATAAGTACGTAGTCCATCAATCTAGATCTTTCTAGAAGTACCATGTATTTTGTATACGGTATTACGGATTCGATGCCCTTTAAGGGTAATGTTAAAGGGATTGTTGGCTTAAGTGGAGTATTTGGTGAATCCGCCATCGACGCCCCGCATAGACCAGCGAAGGCCGCATACTTAACACTTTCCGACATCGTTTGACTCGAGTGGAGTATCTTATTAATAATTTTATATCCATTCTTTCTTATATCAGCTCTTTGCACCTGAAATTATACCATAAACTATGCAGTTGCCGTTGGTTCCTAGACGAATATCTCTGTAAAAATATATTGGTCATCCCTGTCATCACCTCTGATAAAACAGAGATAACAATATTTTTAAGTGGAGATTTTAGTCTCAGAAACTCACGTTATTATTTTTATTTACCTGGCAATACAACGCTCTCCTCAGCATGTCAAGGTCACACGACTCTTCACTCATTACGAAATCAATTATGGCCGTTGTCACGCTCTGTTGCTCAGCTGTCACTTCTTCTAGCATCCAATATAGATCTGTTGAAAATTACAAACGTTATATTATATAAAATTCATAAAATAAATAAAAAAAATAGCATAATAAAATAAAAGTTAGAGCCTACCTTTCTCTTGACAAGCTAGCTTTGCTACCCAAGCATTGACAAACTTATTCCTTTCTGACGTATCATCATCTTTCTCTTCATCGGCAGTGAATAATTCGTTTTTTAAATCATCAGCCTGCAGCAGTACTTGCTTTTCGCTTTCCATAGATTCCTTTAAAATGGAATTATCTGTCATATCATTGATTGAACTAATTGACACCTCGTTCGTTGGTGTCTTGTCATCATAGTCTTTGTCTTGAACATCTTCTTTTTCAGATATTTTTAATTCACCTCGAGCTTCATTCCGCATATCGTCATAGTTCGAGGCATTTTTCATGTCTTTATCTAGTGGTTTGTCTTTTAGTTTTAATTTATTTTTAGTTTGTTGATTCGCGGCATCTTTCGAAGCCGGGTCAGTGGGTCCTTCTGAATTATAGTAACACTTTGGTTCTACGACTTTAATGCGAATATCGTCAACAGGCCTAGCGGTGTTACTTAGTCCAGATTTGATTATTAAAGCATCGCCTTGCAGTAAACTGCCTCCAGCTCTTAACATACTCTTATTTAAACTATTCTGTCTATTCCTTAAGTCTTTCGTTGTTTCAAAACTAAAAGAATAGCAAATAAAATATTAGTACGCGGCATAAACTTTTTTTTTCAAGATTAATTCGTGAGCATTACCATTTGTTGAAAGAAGGCGATTTGGCCAATCGCATGACCTTTTGGAACATCTTCTTAGCTGAGGGTGGGCGGTGTGCGGGCGGCCTCTTGTGCAGCGCAGACACCGCGGGAGATATCGCCGGACGCACCTCGTGCAATAGAAACCTTGCTCTTTCTAAAGGTGCTGCACACACCTACATAACAAATTACGTAAATAAAGATATCGTAAACAGGTATGTTGAAAACCATGTTAGATATATTTTGTATCTTACTTCTTTATAACCCCGTGACAATTGTTGCCTAGTTCTCATAAGTGTCCATTTGCTCTGCTGGACGGCCTTTAGTATCTCCGACATCGCCGGAGACAGTCTTACTTCGCCTTTCTTCATTTCTGTAAAGATTAATAAATGTATTTTCGTTTCTTTTTATTTCAATGTTTAGATCCAAATATGACAGCTTTTATACAGAGATTTTGGTCTCAGAAACGATTAATGTGTTAAGTTACCAGTGGTAGCAGTTGCAAGGGCATGTTCCTTCAAGCCAACGTGGTACAGCAACACGGCGAGCAACGCCCGACGCAACTCCTCCACCGGGTGCTCCGGGGGGAAATGTGGAGCGCAGCCCTCACGTCGCTCGCATGCCCACCACAGGTGCAGTGCTAAAGGATCCTATAACAAACACGGAAGATAAATTTATTGCAATGCTTTATAAAATTTGAATCTGAAGAACACAAAGTATCTAAAACATAGAGATATCACTAAAAAATTAGGAAAAGTGTAAACAGTTAGGGTAGGGCGCTCTTGAGCGACCGCGAAGCCGCTGGATAGAAAGGCCCGCAACAAGTCTGCGAAATACACAGTCTTACTATACTAACTGCACCCCCAAGGCGTGCTATAAAAGGTGACGTAGCGTTAAAACCTAGAGTTGAAGTGTGAGAGTCTAAAGTACTAAGACTAGTAATAGTAGTACTAATATCTTACTAGCAGCTTAGGCTCGGCGAGTGCGTACAGCAATGCGTCAGCACGCGCATGCGCGGTTGTAATACTTGGGCGGGGGGCGGGGCCGAAAGCGCGCGGCGCCGGCACCTCCCCCGCTGGGCTATTGCCACCTGTTGACGAACCACTTCGTGCCTCCGCTTTTTCTTCTTCAAATGGATTCGACAGTTGCGGTACCTGCGTAAGAATATTATAATTCATGCATTTTCTAATATTCACGATATAACGATTTAACATTTTTATTGTATCAAAATACAGAGGATAAGTCAGTTTACCTGCAAGCCGCCTCTTAGGAAGACTGCTGTCGCGTGAGCGGCAACTTTACGTTCAGCTTGCTGTACCGGCAAGGAGCGGGCGAGCCGCACGCCGCACTCCGACACACCCAGCATCAGTTGGAAAGCAGTCGACGATAACATGTGCAAAACTCGCAAAGTCGGAATGCTCTCCTGGAAAAATATGGTCCTGTTACAAGACAGCGTGACCTGAAACTTCAAACTTTGGTTACGTTACCATGATATTTGCACTTACTTGACACCGATGTCCATGAACTTGTTCGGCATAAAGACCAACACATTTCTCAGTGATAGCGGACAAGTATGCAGCGTGGGGCTCCTCACTGAGCGCGGCGGTGGCGTCGGTGCCTCGCAGCTTGCGCACCAGTTCCACGGTGCTGGCGCTGTCGCATCGGAACTTTTCCACATCGTACACGAAACCGGATACCACGATCCAGGATCCACCATCTTTTACGTGATTCTGTATGTCACACCTGCGAATCGATACAAATTTCCAACAAATTTGGGCACATCTAAATTTAGTTTGTGTACGAACTCCTTCGAAATCAGCAGAAGTGTTTAAGTTTTATCTTACTTTCTGATAACAGTGATGTTGCGGTGATGCCGACGTGTGATGAGGCCTGGCCAGCCGAGTGTGTCTGTCTCGTGGCGCGCGGCGGCGGGCAGCGAGAGCGCGGCCTCGTCGCAGGCGCGCGCCACACCCGTCAGCGATGACACGCACTCCATCAACGAGAACGTCGAGCGCGCCGCACACGTACACACCCATGCGCTCAGCTCGCTCACTACACGTCCTGCAATATTACTACTAATGTAAATTTTATGCACAAATAATTCTAAAACTACTAATTTTGACGCTGAGCTAATTCTGACGTGACTTTCACTGGAAGGTAGCTGATGATGTGGCCTACTTTTTTAATCCTGACGCAGACGAAGTCGTAGGAGACCGCTAGTATTGAGTAATAGAGCTCGATAATCGAAATTCTTCTTTATACAAAATTACATCAGTTAATTGTCCTTGTAGTGTACTTGCCTATAATATCAGCGCTTATGACGTTGCAGAGGGCGAGCAGTTGCTCGTTGTCTGCAGCGCGCACGGCGCGGGAGAAGCACGTGGCGACGGCCAGCACATGCTCGGCGAGCAGTGCGACGTACTCCGCGAGCAGCGCGCGCACGCCACCACGCGTGTTGCGTCCACCACGCGACCACATCGCCTCACAGAAGAGAAGCCTGTAATATTTTGTGTATGTCATTCCTTGCTTGACCTGTTGATTGGGATCTTTAAATCAAAAGCTATGTAGCATCAAGGACTGAATTTTATAGCCATTACTGTATTTTGATTTGATACGATTCTTAAAAGAAAATAAGACTAAATAGTTTAATCTTATAACATATTTACCTTTGAAAACGTAGCAACAAATCACAGCTAGGGCTGACTGTGTCGTGTACTTTGGGGTCATCGGTCTTGCTGCTATTGCCCTTGATAATCGCGTTTATTAGCATTTGAGTTTGACAAGTCGTGTTTTGAATAAGATGTTTTACCTGAATTAAGAAAAATAACAATTAATTTGAGAAAACAGACTTGGGTTTACAACAGGGTTAATTTTTCGTACATACCAAATGCATTAAAGGTACCGAAGTTCCATTTTCTTCTGAAGTCGTTGCGTTATCTATTTGGTATTCTTCAGTGCAAGCACCTGTCAATTAAAATTTAATTAATTAAAAAGATAGTAAAATAACTAGATTTCATCATTATTATTTTACCTTCCTCCACATCGATGTCGTCCGCGTTAGCAGAAGACATAGATCCTCGTTGTCCCGTCACTATGTCAACTTGATCGTATTCGCTATAATTAAAAAAAATCATAAAAAAAAATATTTAGAAGGCTGTGATTTTACACCCAACCACTCTTTGAAAAAACAAAGATACAAATTGTTTTACTAGATGTGTATAGGCGGCTTTCACGGTACATACTCATCAAGTTGCAAGTGGTTGTATGTGTCGGTGGCGTGCGCTCGCAAGGCATTCTTGAGCGCGTCACGTAGCCCCCCGCCGCCCAGCAGCGACCACACCAGCAACTCCGTCATGAACCTCGCCCCAGCACTGGCTACAGCAGTACCTACATAGTTTTTCATTCATATTCAATCAGTTTATATTTCACTAGCGGTCCACAAATGGTTACAAAGGTGTAGCCGTTCCGGAAATTACCCAGAACAACCGTGGCCTTGCGGACTTACAAAAAAACAGCCATAAATTTCGAGACGTTCACTAGACGGTAACTGATATGTGTGGGCATACTATAGGTTATTTTTTTTAATTTTGCACTGACAAAGTCACTGGCGATCAAGATTCGCGTATTGAAATAATACCGTATGAATTGTGTGCGTGTGTTACTGACCGTGTGGCAGCAGCGCGATGAGATGTTGCGCGCGCAGCTGTGGTGTGGGCAGCAGCAGCGGCCATGTGGCAGCTAATGCGCGGCGCGCCGCCCCTGCCGCCGCAGCCCCTGCGCGCCCCTCCACCAGCGCCACCAACGCGCCATGCAAACCGCTGCACCAACTGCGTCTCTCCATACCACTGCTGCCCTCCACATCCGCCTCTTTCGAACATTGCCATGCATGAACCTAGACAATAATATCATCAACTCGTATACAACTTTAAACTTTTGTGAATTTTACTAATATAGTGTTCGTAAGAAACATTGTTGTTAGTCAAACCGTGACTATGGCGTCTCCAACTGTGCCAAAATATCAAGGACTCAAATAGTTTAATCGTGGTAAGAATCCCGTTTCTGTCCACTACAATGTTATATTGACTTACCCTAATGTCATCCACATATTGTGTCCTCCACTTTACTCATCCAAAGACCAATATGTATGGTAATTAATTATTCTTTGTCCATCTCACACATCTTCAGATTGGCGAATTCAATGATTGTACTTACTTGTAGCCTTAATAAATTGAGACAAGATATTGCTAGGCATTCGTTTTCTTTTAACGTTGCTGTACTGCTTTGTTCCACTGCAAGTTTTAACAATCTCTCCAGAAATCTGAAATCAAGAACCATTCATTTTGAAAATTCAATTGGAATAATTTCGCTATATCATCTTCTAAACATATTAACTTTACTCACATGAAAGTGTTATCAGACAAGTCTATAACAAAAGGCATCGAAGACGGTAAATCTCTGGGATTTTCTTCGCTCCACGCGATTATTTGTGTAGCACTACTAGAGGCACCTGTAATTATAAGTAAACATTAAGCTAAATGCATAAAATAACAAAAAAATACAGATTAAATAAAAAGCTTACCATTGGCTTTAAATGAAGAGTTGAAAACTTGCAACAGTTGCGGCGCTGGTCTTCTCATATTGGCGCGTTCATGTGTACCCCACGCATACAACGCGCCGTCAGATGTCAACGCTATACCGTGTGTTGCACCCAAAGATAAGTCTATTACCTTTACACCTGGAAACATGACATTTATAAAAAGAATAATTAAAAAATCGATAAATATAATAGTTGTGACCAGTTTTGCTACGTATTGAGTGTCAACATGTACCTTGAAGAGCTTCCACCAGCTTGGGATCCTGGACTGAGTCGGCATTCCCATGACCAAGACGATGTCGTTCACCTTTACCCCACGTGTATACTTGGCCACTAAAAATAATAACCTACATTATTTATACACATTTATACAAAAAATACAATTTGTGTAATTTAGTTTAATTGCACGTACGTGTCAGTAAGCGCAGCGTGCCAATGCTCCCCGGTGTAGACGCGCGTGACACGGAACATTGCGAGCGAGGAGAGCGCGCGGGGCGTCCCGCTCTCGCCCTCCCCAAACACTTGCACTGCGCCCTCCAGAGTGCAGCACAGTGTTTGACTTTCGCCCCAACCTTTATACACATATACATAACTTACTAATTTATTTAATCTTTAAGTTTTATTTTTTTCGCACAACACAACAACACGTCATAGTAAGTTCGGTTTTGTGCCGTCGTTACGAAGAAATACTTCTATGTCTCTCAGCGGGTTCCTTTACATTTGTAATTCGCTTTAAAACTGAGGCTATGAAAACTTACCTAAAGCAACGTCAACGATGCGTTCAATATTATGCGCATTAAACGCGACGGGCTGCGGCGTGAGGCAGTTCTCAACAGTGCCATGACCAAGACGGCCGTGTGAGCCGCGACCCCATGTGTATAGAGCGCCGCGAGATGTTATCACAGCACTATTAATAGAACAAATAACGGTGTAAATCATCGATCAGATGAAGGGTACTTCGATTGTGTCATTGTTTAATACAAACCTGCAAGCGAATCCAGCGTAAACTCTGATGATTTCATGGTGTGCGAGATGGTGTATGGTGGCGGGGGCATCCCTGGGCGCGGTGTCACCGTGACCCAGTCTGCCATCCTCGCCCGTACCCCACGACCATACTCCGCCGCATGCAGAGCAGCACAAAAAATGACGCCCCGCCGGATGACACGCCACTTGAATTATCGTCTTATTTTCCAAACCTATAAGTAATGATAGCTGGTTTTATTTAAATCACAAAGAAAATAATATTAAACTAACAATAAACTAATGGAATTATCTTTAAAATCTCTAGGACGTTCAAAGTATCTGACTCGAAGGACCAACATTCCATAATTAAATTTCCATTTCAACGTACCTGGTACTAAATGTGGAGTCAGACTGTCGTAGGGTAAGGTGTAGACATCACCATCATGAGTTAACAATAGAGCCAGTTTTTCAGCACATGCAACTTGCTGTATTCTTAGACTGCCAAGTTGGATCGGACCAGAACCAATAGCAACCACTTCTTGTGCAGACTCTGTACACTAAATACAACAATAATTGAATAAACAATAGTCAAAATAAAATAGTCATCGTCATATATGCATTATTGAAAAACTTACAGTCACAAAACCTTTCAACGGGGGCAGCAGAGGAGCACCAAGTCTGTCCAGGTGGCACAGTAAAGCGACACCGGCTTTTCTAACTTCCATTAACCCATCGCCACTTGGTATTGTAAGATCTCTGTAAGATGAAATCTATTGATCACACTTCTAAACCCAAAAGAACATGAGTAATCCAATAAAGAGTAAATCTATAACTGCATGCACAAACAAATTTTTATACCCTTTGTTATGCACTTACTTTAAAAATAACTCAGAAGAATTGCTTTCGACTGTTGGTTCATTGTTAACAACTGGATTAGGAGCGGCTACTTTTGCCATTCGTCTCAAAAACGGTCCCAGTGGCGCGGTGCATTCTTCCAAAATAATTCTGAAAGTAGGATTTTTTTTACTACACAGTTAAATGCCATATCATATTTTGCTGCATATTGTTTCTCTTGCATATCCCATTGATTTTATGTTATATTTCAACAATAAAAAGTAATCATTCAATAATAAACCTGTTATCAGGCAGTCGCTTTTGCCGCGGTGGTAGTGTGACAAGAACATCGGCAGCTTTCAACAGTGCGGGCAGCTCCGCCCTGCGAGCACACAGCTCCACCCACACGCACAGTGACGTGCGCCAGTCGCCCATTGGCACATTGCAACCAACCTCACTGTGGGAAAAAACAATTAATATGTGTGTAGGCCTCATGTAAAACTTCCTTATTTCAATTATTGGATGTAAGGTATAAAAGAGAATTCACTTCTTTGCTCTTTGTGTAAACATAAAAAGTCAACAAAAAATAAACCAAGTCATAATACCCGACAACAACTTGATGTAGGAATTTAGCAGCACTATCAACAACTTCAGCCCAGATCTTCTGTGAGCGCGGCGCCTGCGTCACACCGAGGCCAGCGCCCGCATACAATGCTGCGTCGGGCAGCGCGCGCACCGCGTCCAATGCGTCGCGGAGCAGCGCCGAGCAAACATCCGCGTCTTCACCGCAGCGCCATGCACGACGTACCAGTGAAAGAGCCAATCTCAACGCAGCTCGCGCTCCTACGCGTGCTAGTCCTAAAGCACTGAAAATATATTTTGACATTAGCCTAGCACAATGAATTAATTGTTCTTGGGTTTACTGATCCTATAAATATGGTATCATTTGTTATTTTTAAAAATAGCTACTGGTTTGCAAGTCTTTGGTTTAAAGACTAAAAAAATTTGAATTTCTTTAAGATACCTCTCAGACTCATCGGAATGTTCCTCAGTATCCTCTTGACCAACAGAAGTTATTTCAGTAGATTTTAGAGTGTTCACAACACCACTGAGTGCTCTATTGCTAATAGTATGAGGTGGTTTCTTATCTATTCTGATTTTCTTTACATCTTTGTTTTGAGTTTGTTCCCTGTAAAATTGCAAATGTTACAACATATTCCACTTGAAAAAGAAAACTTTCTTACATAGTAAATGGTTTTTCTCATATGAATCTTGTTAGATTAATACAGCATAATAAAAAAAATCTTATTAGGATCTTAAGGATTATTTAAATAGATTGTTGTTAAGAACCATTTATATAAAGCCTGATTTTATTCCAGGAAATGCAATCAGTGAATATGCTGCTTAAATATTTTTTATATTAAAATGAAATGTAATTGAATTAAATTAAACATTACCTTAAAACTGCCACCAAATGTCTATTGCAGAGGACAATCAGACGTCTGATTTGAGATATTATTGGGCAACTGGTAACTGTGTTAATAGTTTTCATACGCTGCTCCCATATCATAGACTCCATTAAACTTTGCAGACATTCTGGACCTTCACGTAACAAGTAATTATATATTTTCTATTGTATTTAATTTTATTGTATTAAAAAAAAAAACAACCTGTATAGCTTTTAAAAAGATTTTTGATAATTGGAATAGTCATCAACATACATACAACATATGAACAAAAAAATTATATTATTAAACCAATAATATTGTAACTGCAATAATGTATGGCTAATGTGATTTTGGTACCTAAATATTTAGTCAATCTTACTCAATATTACTGTTGATGTGTCAATAAGTAAATGCAAACTTAACCAAAAGCAAATAATACCTGGCTCTTGTTTCCATTTGATTCCATCAATGACCCAAACAGATGATGGTGGTGCTACTAACTTGGCATCTAAGGCAAGACGTCTCTCTTCATCTGATGAGAGTGCAGCGCAAGAGGTGCAAGCACATCCCGAATGAGGACCACATAGTCCATCACAACAGGTGCAAGTAAGGTTCTAGAATATATTACAAAGGTTTAAAAAAATTCAGTAAACTAGTTTTTAATTCTAGTGCGTTGACATACCCTTAGACCGCAATAATATTTCCCACTATCGCCTAGTTTAGCTGTTATTCCAGACGCATTGACGAGACCATCTCTTGCTTCAAAATATATTTCACGGTCCTGGGCTAGACTATTGTACAATAAGTTAAGAGATATGGAGTCGTGCAGAGCATCTTGTAAGTCAGGGTTCAACCATTTAGCATCCAAATGTTGTTGTGGGCGAAATATATATTCATCTTGGTAATCCTCCGAATCAGACATTTCCGTTCTCGCTAGGATTAATCCATTAAAGAAATTATAAATGGTACACGTTTCAACATAGTGTGTATCACTATGAGACAAAATAAGAAAGCACCTTAAAATATTTCATTTTGAAATAATACAAAGGAAGCAATTATTTCAAAATAAATGTTAGTTATTTAATTGAACTATGAAATGCAATCAATCGAAGACAGACTTAAACAAACTGTCAAACTCAAACTCAAATGTCAAATCTACACACACAATTTTTGTACCATTTAAAAGTTCGGCAACTTTTACTAGTTGAATTATTATTTCTTTATTTATTTTGATAAAATTACTAGACGGAATGAATGTAGAATCATTCATCCTCCAATTTTGCGAAATATTAAATTGAATAATTGTGTTAAAATGTCATTAAAGCAGGCAATGGGTAATGTAAACCCATTTCCAAACTTACAACGTGCTCTTTGATCCGAATATGAAAGTTACTCAAATTTGACCTAAAGGTCTATGTTACCAGGTCATAAAATTAAAAAAAAGTTACTTAAATGTCAAAGCGTGAAAGCTGTCAAAGTCAATCTTCGAGTTACAAATGGCGTGTTTCATTAATTTTCCTATATTTTTATAAATTTGAAATAAAATAAGGGCGCTTTACTTATAAGAATTTTTAGGAAAAACCAGCTTCGATGGATACAGACATTTTATTGGGAAATAAGGACTGTCTTTATGGTAATTACAGTGTTTTTTAAATATATATAACCCGGGTTGAATGAAAACAAAGTACTCAATAGTCTAGACGTGGTATTGTTATTGTATTGGTTAAGTAATTACAAGGCGCAAGTAATGATCGGTGTCCTTGTACTAACTTTCGCACTTTATTAAAACACTCAATTCTTAAAGTATACGTTTATTATCAAAATAATAATCCTATGTTTATCTAAAATAGTTAATTATCACGTGTTTGTATGTTAAGAATACGTTTTACTATAAAATCTTCAACAGTAGTTGTTTTTGTTGCAGATACTGATTTCCTGGACCATTTCACAAACGAATATCAGTGGTCATCATTATTAGATGCAGCTGATGCATCACCAAGTGAAATTCTTGCCGAAGCGGCTTCTATATTTGTGCCGCCTATATCACCAATTTTAAGCATAAAATCCTCACCCAATGAAAGCAGTAGTTCAGATTCAGGCAGCGAAGATGATTCAAAAAAGTAGTTTGTATTTTTATATAGTAGTGTAGTTTATGTAATTTTTTTGTACACTTTCTCTTATAAGATCTAAACAGAAATATTAAATTAACATAATCACCTTATGTATTAAAGTATTTGTACTATTTGGTCCAAAATGTGAACATGTATATGTTGTAAACGTGAATTATATATAATGGGCATTATAAAAGGAAACATAGCATATCAAAATGAGTATTCTTTAAATAAGATTTTAAGTTGATTTGTGTTACTATTTGGCATAACTTGTGCTAATATTAAAAAAAATGATCTTAACCAAATCATCTTTCACATCAAACATTTTCAAAAACCCATATTTATAAATTTGTGTATCTTATTAAATAATAAAAATCAGCTTACATAAAATTATAATTTCTATTACAGCTCGAGCAATACATCTGCTAGACAGTCTTCATTATCACCATTGGATTGGACATTTGATGAGGACTCATGTAACTTAAAACTAGAAGATGTTGAACAGTTTCTTCAAAAACCAGGTAAATACATCTTAGAGACTTACTTCTTACGAATATTATAAATGCAAATGTTAAGATGGGTGGATGTTTCTCAGTATATCTCTGGAAATGCTCAGTGTTTTTTATTACTAATGAATTTTTATACTTTATAATTTAAAACAAAAAAAGAACAATAAATTGATATATCTATTATTTTGAAAATATAATAAAAGATTTTTTTTTTTTTAGCTCCAAGTGATACAAAAGAAAATAATACAATATATCCACCAAATAACATACAAGATAAAAATGGTCCTGTTATGGCTATTGAAAATGGAATCATTAAGGTTTATATGATGTTGGCTTACATTATTATTTATTACATATCTTTAAATGAGCAAGTCTTGTGTGTGTATATATATTATAATTGTAATCTCGGAATCGGCTCCAACGATTTTCATAAAATGTAGTATATAGGGGTTTTCAGGGGCGATAAATCGATCTAGCTAGGAATCTATTTTAGGAAATGTAATTTTATTTGTGCTTAATTGATAATCAACTTAAAGATAAACTTAACTTTTTCTATCGGTAAGATCGAAAATATTATTCATATTTCATCATTTTATTAGTAATTTGTACTTAAATATAATTTCAAAAAACGCAATTTAAAAAAAAATACCGAGCAGAGCTCGGTCATCCAGGTACTTATTATTTATTACAATAACTATTTTAATATAGTATTTATCTAATTAATCTTTATGTCTTATACAGGGTGTTAAAGTAGAAAATGATGTTGTTGAACATAAATATATACCACTATTGACTGCAAAGGATGGTATGTATTTATTAACTTTATAACTGCAGTATTACTGAATTAAAGTTATAAATATGTAACGTTTTAAATTGTTTCAGAAAATGATTCCGTTCAAAATGCATACTTCAAAGTTGTAAATGAAAATATATCAATTAACACAAAAAAGGAGGACAAACATGTTATGGTTATGGAGCAGAAGAGGATACCAATTATATTAAAGAAGCAACAAATAATTAATATTAAGCCACCGAATATTGTGATACCTACAGAAAGTTCAAAGGGGAAAATCGTAATTTCGCCATTACCTCAAACAAATCTTGCAGGTGATAAGAAAGTTAATGGTTACCCAGTAAAGGTAAATATAATGTGATTTCAATTAGAAAATCGTGTTTTAATTTGTATATCTTAGACATCTAATAACCTCTTTCAACGTTTTTAAAAATAAAGAAAACAGGTTTATAAAAAAATAATCTTGTAATGTTTGTTTTTATATTTCTACACTTTGAAGATGACTTACATATTCAGGCTTTATAATGCTACAAATGACATAAATGTTATGATTAATTTTAATGTTTTTACAGTTGGCAACACCTCAAAAGAATGTTATTATAAGTCCCAAACTGGAAGTAGCTAGTGATAGCACAATAGTACAAAACGGAACCAAACCAATAGATTCAGATAATATAGCTTCTAGTGTAGATATAACAAATTTAAGTGATGCTGAAATAAGAGCTATTAAGAAGCAACAGAGGATGATAAAAAATCGGTAAAAATTACATTTATCTTTACAAGTTTTAAGAAATTGTCTGATTTCCTTATTTTTCAGTACAATATCACAACTTTATGTAATGAACGTAAAGATTTAAATGTCGTAACATTATGTTATTTTAACCTTTTTAAAAATTAATAAAATTTTAATCTTATTTGACAGTGAGTCAGCATGTCAGTCGAGACAAAAAAAGAAAGAGTATGTAACAGCGTTAGAACAACAACTGTTGGAGGCCCAACAGGAAATTGAGAGGTTACGCTTGGAGAATAAATTGTTGCGGGATCAACTGGAAAATAATGGACGATATCGTAAGGTAAGCCGAACTTTGCATATTTTCAAAATGCATAAACTCAACCATTACCCATAGACAACTATCTATCAAGTTGTGTTCTTTCGAAGATCTGTTCTCAGAATACCTAATCTTTTTATTTGCTGTACAAATCAAAAAATCTAACTTAATATAGAAAAACTTATTTTCATCTAACTTTTATAGAAAAAATTGAACAATTAATATATATTAAAATGTTTTATTTTAGATTCCCCGCCTGGATACTTCCATTTCGATACCAAAAAAGAATATTGCGATGTTATTCGCTATGGTATTTATGGTATCACTAAATTGGAATGTTATAGGGTGAGCAATGATTTGTTATTAACTTGTAATTTCATAATTCATAAGAAATATGTAGTTAAAATAACACTCTGTATAATAATAATTTACACATATATGTTGTTGTAATATTGTTTTTAGATGGAATAGTCCAACGTCATTTATTGGACCAAAGTCACAACAGACAGTGGCGTCACGACATTTATTGTGGGCTGAGGATAACTCTGATTCAATACCTGGTAAGTGTTCTATAGAAATAATAAAAAAATCATATTTATTACTATCTATGTTGTGTCACACATACACACACACACACACATGTGTCATATATTATCTCCTTCCAATTTCAGATTATGATCAACTTGTAAATAGAAGTAATGAAAGTAGCGATTGCCAAAATAGCACCATCACAGAATTTCAAAATATAAATCAAACGGAGAGTATAAGGATAGCGGGTGAATTGAAACGTTGGATCGGCGGCGGCAAAACTCTAAATTGGACCAATCACAAGCAAAGTGAAGCTAAAGTATATCCCAGTGCTGAAAAGATACGCCGTAAGGAATCAATATTTGCTACAAAAGAAAAACTCAATATTACAAACAATATAACGGATTTTTTTTTAATTTTATTAATATGTATGATCATATGGCTTAATGTTTTGTATTAATTGCAGATGGTCTATTTGAAACATACGGAATATTTAATAAACTGCATTTAGATAACAATTTATTAGAATTTCCAACCGTAAATAAGAATCCAGAGAAGAACTCACGTCAAAAGCTTCGTATGCGTCGTTTGAAGCGAAGCAAAGAGGTTGAATTTCCTAACAACAGTGTCTATGATTACAACAAGCTGTATCACAAGCCGATACGGAAAATTGATGATTTTGATGTTGATTTTGGTGAATGGAATGCTTTACTTCAAGCGCTGCAGAGGCGAGACGACACGTTCTATGTTGTTGGTGTGGGAAAGGGAGAGCATCTGTTGTTGCCTGCGGTCGCACACAATGTCACACGACCGCCCAAAATGGCTTTAATCTTACCTGCGAGAACTGGAAATGGTTAGTACCATCATTATTCATTATCCACATCCAAAACTATCATCATCATCAGCTCAATATACGTCCCCACCGAGGGGCTCGGCGCCTACCATAAACTAAGGGTGATTAGGTCATAGTCAAATACGCTGACCCAGCGCGGGTTAGTTGACTTCACACATATCTTTGAATTTCTTCTTAAATATGTGCAGGCTGCATCACGATATTTTCCTTCACCATAAGAATGTCACATAAATGTATATATGTAAATCGGAAATCGAAAAACACATTGATTCATGGCCGGATACAAACCCTGAGCCACCACCGTTCCACAAACAAAACAAAACTATTAAATATTCATTTTCTTCTATCCCATAGGCAAAATAAACAAGTAGAGTTATTAGTTGGTAATTATATCTTCCTTTTCAGATTCCCTAATGAACGATCACGTGACGCTCATGCAAATTGACTGCTCCGTTGTGAACACATCTCTAGTCAAACTCAAATCTGATGCATTACCTGAGAGTTTAAGGAAAAGTAGAAATAATGAATCGAAAACCCCAATCCCCGTGTACAATAATCCCAAACCTAAATATAATAGAAATGGCTATGTGAGAAGCAACAAAGATGCAATCGACGCTAGTCTCTCAGATGTTATGCAAAATTCAGGCAATAACGCATCCAATACTATAGAAAATAAGAAGCAAGGTAAAATTACCAATATTAATTCGGACAGTGACGTATTTGCTCAAATATTAAACCCTGAAAGGTTTATCGTTAACAACAAAGAATCAATAAAACATATCAAGTCAAAAAATGATAGTTTAGTATGAAGCTTTTATGATAATTTCTTTACAATGTGCAATATTTATATCCTATTCTATGTGAACGTTTAAATTACGTAAACAGATAAATGTTAGCATAAAATTAGCAATCTGTCTGTGCGGGGTAATTTTATGAAGATATTTAGGCTTTACCTTAGATTTAGGGATAGCAGGCCTATATTTTGACTTAATTGTAATGTAAGGCACAGGAAATAGCTTCTAAATTATATGTACTATTATTGCCTATTTGAAATTGCAAATTCTTTAGACTGAAACACATGTGATTTATGTTAATATGACTAGACTCTTTAAGTATTGTGTTTCTTTCATTAGTGTAAATTCTTTAATCTAAATTCTAATACTTATCTTAGGGAAAGCTACGTCGCTAGTTTTGATATGTAGTCATGAGTTACACTCAATTAGTTTATGAACAGTTCATCTCGCATTTCGTATGTGTAAAGCAGATTATTGAACTGGCTAACGACTTAGCTCAATTTGTACATGCATAGAGTTATGATTGGTCGCTCTGTGGGTACAACTGGTTCACTGAGTCATAGTACATTGCGATGAGCTGTCAATTTAATTATTGACCTGCAGCTCAATGCTTCAAGTCTATTTGACCTTAACTTTAGAGTCTATTTATAGCTTACCCACGTCTAGATGAAATTTTAAACGAAGCTAGACAAAAAAATGTTTGATTTGGCTATGTGTAATCCTTTTACTTTTCAATTAGGAATGCATTCCATTGGCTTACTATATAATTTGTACTGTATCCCATCTAAAGTTCAATAGTAAATTTATATTATTTTTTATATATAGGTATATAGATATCTGGAAGATTTTTTAAAGTCTTAATTAGTAGTAGACTTAATTTTTCTAATGATATAAGATTTTTTTTACTTAATTGTGCCTAGTGGCCCTATATTGTTTTAAATATACATAAGGATATGAGCACAATAGTCAAAGATAGCCTTCCAGTTGGTTTGTTAGTTTTCACAAAGTTATTAACCTGTCTGTGAGGACTTTTATTTGATTTAAAGTTGTCTATGAGTGCTGCTTAACCATAAAGCATCATTACTTTTCTAAGTGTATTTACCTTATAAAAATACTAATAACACTATCCTTTAGTCATGTATAAATAAGGTCTAATTTTGTTGAATTTTTATATTAGTGTTAAATTAAAATTATTTTCCAATGTTGGTATTTGGTTGCAACATATTTTTTTGTTTTAGTATAAATAAATATTAAGTACATATTGTTATCTTATATTTTAAAATTGTAATTACCAACAATATAATTTAATTTAGATCTCACTATCTTACAAATTATTTATAATAATTACACAATTATTTTGGTAAACTTGATATAAATTATATTTTTTCAATATATGTAATCTATTTTATATTTATTCTAATTTAACAATTGTCTATATAAAATGGAAATATTTACTTTTTTATGATTTTTTAATAATCCTCTGATTTAAGTTGATTGAATGAGTTTAAACATTAAAAAATATATTTACTTTAATGTACATTCTAATATTTTCTTTTACTGTGTTGATATGTTAAAATTATGACATTTAAAACATAGGAAATTGTTTTTAAACACTGTTAAATTTTAATAATATTTATGAATCATTGTTAATCATAGTTCTTTTTTTATTTTATTCTACTATTTGAATATATAACTATACTATACTGTTAGTCTTACGAGAATATTATAATACAACTTTCTTATTGTAACATGAGTAATAATTAAATACAATAATGTGAAAAATTGGTGTTTCATTCAATTTTGGACTAAACATCTTATAACGTTAGCTTTACTATCGATATAATTGTGATAATCAATCTATGTTATTGTAGTTGTCGCCCGTAACTCCGTTTCTCCGCGGATTTGAATAAAAGTCAATAAGTAGCCTATGTGTTCTATCAAACTATGTTCTACATTCATGCCAAATTTCATTGCGGTCCGTTGAACCGTTCTGGACATAACTAATAAATAACATCCATCCATTTGCATTAGTATGACAGGTATTTAAGAAAAATGTATATTTGCGCATAAAAACCAAAAATGTCCGGAAGTAACATATACTTGCATATTTTGACTTCTTTTATAATTTTGTATGCCACAATAATATTGCGTTTTTTTTCCAATAATAATTTTAAGGGAGGAAAACAACAGGCGTTCGCGCAGCTGCTTAAATTTTTATATAAAGCATGAAATACTTGTTAAGGATTTTATAATTGTATTTTGGCAGAAAGACTGTTCTGTTATTGATAAAACTATAAAAACAAAATCTGTCAAGTGACAAAATGGCATTGACATCTGACAAACGAGATTTAAGCATTTTTTGATTTAAAATTAGTGATTTTAAGAATTGTGTAATCTATTAAGAGAATGATATAAATACGAGTTTTTATTTAATATAATTATAACTCCAAGTTATGTTTTATATTTGTATTTAGAAAGAAACCTCGAACCTTAAATAAGCACTTCTATATAGACCAAATACCAGATTTTGGAAATAAACCCATCATTTCCGACACCGCAAACACCACAAAAATGAACTGCATTCGATTAATAAGAAGTCACAACATTAGATTTTTACAGAACCAAGCAATAGTCAGGATATCTAGGGTTAATTATGTCTCACAGCATCCTATTAAATTTACTGAAACTCAAGACAGACTGCGAGAAAAAGACGGAGTTTCAAAACAATGGCAGTTAATTTACAAAGCGCCCATGGAGAAGATTCTGCAGTTTACTACGGCATACTTAACATTTTCTATTACTACTATTTCTTGTAGCTTAGTATATTACTCAGCTTTTATATTTGATACAGCTACAATGCATGAGCCTATTGTACTTGGCAATGACGTTGTAATAGCAAATAATTCAATGGAATGTCTCATTTATCTTGGATCATTCATTTTATTACATGTTGCTGTGAAACTCCTTTTGTCTAAATATGTTATTCGTTTGTATCAGAAAGGTGATAATTACTTGGCCATTTTCAGAGGTCACACATATAGTTCAATAAATAAACACGAATTTCACTTAAATGAATTTAAAAAGTTAAATCCTTCACTGCTTATATCTTGGAGTGATGCAAGATTTGCTCTTGGAAAAAAGAAAGGAATTCTTCTTGAAAATTATTTCAAAACTCCTGAATATTTTAATTATTTATTGTATAAGAAAAGTGCAGCTGATTCTGATGACAACCAATAAAATATTTTAAATTATTGTTTTATCTAGATGTAAATAAAATAGCTGACTGTTATGTTTTTTTTTACATAAATGACCTAATGCTCTGTTAGATGTAAATTATGGTGGATGCTACCCTAAATTAAAGAGAAAAAGGGTTAAGCATATTCAGTACCACTAATTTGCTTGGCAAGTTCACTTCCTTACAAATACTTTTAGTGGTATGGAATGTATTTAATAACATACATATATTAAATTTTATTCAAGGAAGGTATAGTATTAGAAAAACTCTGATTCAATATTGTACTGTTTTATTTATACTAAAACTAAAGGATAAATTATCAACTTCTATCTTAAAATCCCCCTCCATAGGCGTTGTTCCACTTATATCTTGAATCTTTCTTTATTGTAGTTGAATCCATTTTATTTTTATTATTATCAAACTTCTCCAATGCTTCAATTTGTGTTGGATGCGGAGCTAAAGTTTTTGTTACTATACACTGGCCATTTTCTTTTAGGATTGTATGGTTTATGTCCTCTTCACTTGGCTCACCATAGGGAAAAGTTATTGGCGTCAATTTAATTAGATGTTTAATCTTCCATAATCTACTATTTATTTCAGGTATATTTTTAACAACTGTTACACGGTTCTGTAATAGATTGAAAACATATTAATTCAAAGTAAATGTAAGATATGAAACATAAATTTAAAAGGGCTAAAAACAATAAATGATATTTCATATTTTTTGTTACATAACCATGCAAAACTCTTGCAGGAGGCTAACTTTTAGTACAAGGTTGCATTTACATTATAGTAAATAAAAAATGATAATTTACATACTTCTTCATCAATTTTAAGTTCTTTTAAAATCAGTTTTTGCCACCATGGATTATTTTTAACGGGACGAATTCGTTCAACCCTGAACAATTTAGATGGTGTATATTTCGGGTCTTTGTGATCGGGAGACCTAGAAATATATAAGAAAGGTTAGTTTTAGTAATGGTCGGATATAAATTGGTAATTAATAACAATGTATATATTTTGACGTAGATATGTCTTATTTACCTTGGGAAATACACAATACCTCCAGGGTATCGTAGACCACCCCGAGCTTTAAAACCTTTCGATCGAGAAAATGAAGTGAATACGGGATTAAATATTTTTAACAACTGCCGATCCATTTTATTTATATGAATTTACAGTCAAATAGTATGCATAACAAATATTGCAGTATTTTGTTGTTTTTTTTTATTGATAAATCGCCTTTTTATTTTCTACTCCTAATTCTTATCCTATTTCTAACCTTTCAAATTCAACAAAATTGACAATTGACAGTGACACTAGAAGTAACTATTTTTTTTTCACACAGAAAGAGTGTTTTCAAATTGCTTTGGGCTCGAAAATAATGTAATATTTTTTCTCCTTTTATATAAGCCTCAAACTATAGTTAAACCTTAAAACAATTTCTTTTGGCCTTTAAAATATTTTAAAGTTACAAATATTTAGAAACTATGAAATGAATTATGGCAATATCACATACAAAATACTTGCTAATTTTTGATTTAAAATTAAATAACTGTCAAAAAGTTTAAATTAGTTTGACTTTGTTTTGTGCAATTTTGTGGCATTTACAAAAATCTTGCATTATGTTTACATTAAGTTTAGAATAGTGTTGTTTGTTAAAGTTTTTCCTTCGTATTTGTATTTTATAGTAGTCACTAGTGTTTCAATTTATCCGCTTCATGAAGAAAGTACGCTTTGAAACTACTTTGAATTACAGTGCCATGAACGACTTAGACTGTCAGTCTCCGAGGCCATTTCTCGAGAAAAAGAGTATCTCTAATGTACCTTGTATTGAATATGACTTTGCTAGAGTTGTTCCATATAATAACGATCCACTACAAAGATATGAGTGTGGTAACGGTTCTCCATACCCTACTATTAATAAGACACGTATAACAGAATTATCTAAAATAGAATCAAAGTGGACTCCTTCGAATGATTTAGATCTAAGTTTATTGGATACATATGCAAAAATGCCGAGGAGTAGTGTCCAAGAGACTAATGTGTTCAAACATCCAAACCATAATGGATCTTCGTGCGTAGTAAAGAATACCTGTGATAATGTCAACTCACCATCAAGAGTTCTTTCGTCATTAGAAAATAAGTATCAAAACCCTCCCAACATTTTGAGTAAAAATGATAGTTTTTTCATACAACGCGAAAATTTACATCAAATGTCTTGTCAGAATATAGAAAGACAATTCAAAAAAAATACCTTAGATAAGGAAAATAATCCTTTGGTTGCCAAAAACAAGCTTATCAAAATAGGTGTGACAAATCCTTTAAGTAGAGTTAGTTATAATGAGTCAGTGGATGCCATTGCTGTACCAACTGACCATTGCCAATGCCATCAGTGCACAAGACCTCAAGTGTGTACTACAACTTGTGTGAGCAATAATTTAAGGCCATGTGGATACATTCAGAGTTCTCCAAGGAACATAACAAATTGTTGTAACAAACAATTTTCTAAGCAAATATCAAATCATTGTCAACAATGCAATTGTAAAATTCCCATGTATACTCAAAACTGTAAAAAATGCCCATGTGATTCTAATTATTCGCCAGATAATGATATCAATGCAGTTGATAAGAAAACTTGGGCATTAAAGAGATATGAAGAATCAAATGCAGACACCTTAAATGCTGAGAAACAAGTGGTCAAAGAAAAAGGTAAAGAAAAGAGGGAGCCATCAGTGGCAGATCTGTTTAAAATTATAAAACTACAAAATGAACAGTTACAACTCCTGCAGGAAAAAGTTGATAAATTTATTTCAGCTAGCAAGTTTGAGACACAAAAACAAACATTACCAATACAGAATTACGTAACTGAGCATGTGGCTGTAGAAACTATGGACAAAGAGCACCACAAGATTTCAATTGGTGTAATGACAAGTTTCGAAGTAGTTCGAACATCAACAATTATAAATAAAGAAATATTGACTCAGTGTAGCGAAGCTCAAATACAATGTAACAGATCACAAATCAGTATAAAAGAAGTGCAGCCTGTTCATTTAAATTTTTTAGATGGCATCACGCCAGTTTCCAAAAATAATAATGAAGGAAAACAAAACACATCCTCTTTTCAAAAAGAGTTGCCAGTTCACGCAGAAAGTTGCAATAAAGATGTTGGTAATGAAGAGAAAACATACAATGAAATGAGTTTATACAATGTGCAAGTTGACAATGCTATAACTCCGCTTATGTCACCAGAACAGAGCATGTATTTGGATGTAAGAGATTACAGCGAGTAGGTAAAATTTGATTAAAAATATAAAAGAAAAACTTTAACTGTACTACTATTATTTTTAGCTGACTTCAAAAAGAAGGTTATCTTAAATAAATAAACATTTATAACTGTTTTGTTTTACAGTTCAGAATCTGAGCCTGAAGACCAATCCAATGTTGGATGGACCTATTACAATAAAGTTATGGTAAGAAAATGCTTTCTTTTACAAATATTTAAATACTGATGTGTACAGTCAGCAGCATAAATATAGATACATTTATAAATGTTCAGAAATCTGTATACACCTACAATTTCCAATATATGTATCTGATTATATGCTTCCGAATACGAATACAAATGGTTGATGAATACATCTATATCTATTATTGAAATTGAATCCCTATACAAGTTTTTATTTTTATAAATGAATACGTAATTATTGCAGCTTACTGTACTACCTAGATACTACTACTCATAACTCAGAGTAAACAACTTGTCACTATATTTTTAATTCTCTCTTTTTAATTTTTCAGGCACATGTGAATGGTATGCTGCATGATTCAGATATGCCTTCATCGGCCAGTGCATTGTACAGGAATACACGTCAGAAGTGTATGCAAATGAAAATTGACAAAACTAATGTTAGTGTAATAAAGAGGTAAGTTGTAATGTTTATTGTTGATCTAGGTTTCAATTTAAAGATGTTTTTTTAGAACATAATACTGAGTAATAAGTTGACATACAATTTTAATTTTATCTTGCTGCATTACAGCATAAAGCAGTTCATTTAACTTACATTGCATGCCAATTCTAGTATCAATGTTATTATTTTCAGAGTAAAATTTGGTGATGATCCTATTGTAACGCAACAACATCACACTGCATCAACTGACACTAGTTTAAAGATGAAACAGCTCGCAGCAAAGTATTTAAAGAATGGACATGTTGATATCCAGACAGAATCACCCAGACCTGTTGCACCAATTGACATGTCATTTGCAACTAGAAATTATATGGAAAAACATCAACTACTTCAAGGTTTGTATTGATATTATATAAAAACTTCATAAAAAGTAACATTTAATTGTAGTAAACTTAATCAGTAGAACAGAGCCTACTGATTAAGTTAAGTTTAAGTCTTTGGGACTATGTAAGATTTCTCTATCTCTAACCCAAGGTTATCCAGATTCAATTGTATTCTTCCTCATAGTTTTAGCTAGGAATGTAGTTTGGTATTATTAAATAAATTAATGGATAGATTGTGTGAAAGATAGCTACAGAATGTCTGAAAAAAAAACGATACATTTTTGCTTTCAGGTATACCAATGAAATCAAGTAACGGACATGTGCCCGTCGAAATCCCTCGATTCTTAGACATCACTGCGTTGAAGCAGCAACCAAAATTATTGTAGTACAATACTAATTTAAGGACAAAATACATTGTATGATAATTCTAATTTATTATGTTGTGAATAAAATAATAAAACATTATTGAACAGACATTTATTTAAACTTTAGGGTATATAACAAGTAAATCTACGTTACAATATTCCAATGAGATAAAGGATGTTTTTTTTATATTTGTTAGTCACACATACAAGAATGTCATTTATGACGAATTATGAAACATATATATATATCATATATAATTATCACATTAATGGAATAGACATTGAAACAAACTGGTAGGCCTATATACCATTTACATAATAAAATATTTAAATATTGATAAATATGACTATCTTCTTGGAGGTATTTTCTTGTACTT